ATGGCAAAATATTTACAATTCCCGCTCATATGAAAACAATTTTGTTGAAAAAAAAGAAAAAGAAACTGCAAATCTCTCCCAGATTTACCTCTTCCCATAGGCAAACTTGAAAATAAAAATAATTCAACAAAAATGAGCGAGATTTCCAACAATATCCTTGATTTCGAAACAATTTTTTGCGATCTTTTTAGTAAAAAATGCCAGCCATTTTGTAAGTTTTCGGGGGGGTGAATGCCTCTCCTTAGCGCACTGGCTAAGCTTTTGGTTACACTCAAACATTAGCGTTTCGTAATACAGTTACACCTCTGTCCAGTATCTACTCTGTGGTTGCATTTCACAGCGGGCAGTTGCGTTTCAGAGCGGGCCGGATGCAAAAAACCGGCCCGCTCTGAAAGGCTCTCAGCCAATCAGATTGCTTCATTTTCACTGATAAAAAATAAATAGGCATATCGATCGTGACAGCATACTGGTATAGTCCAAAACTTCCGCAAGCTATGATAATAATTCTCTAGTGAACTTACGCTTCCGTCGTTAAGTTCCAAGACCACAAAGTCTCCATTCTCTGGATTTTTCTGATCCACAAGCGCAAAGATGAGACCTGTCGTGTTTTGTGGCTTGATATCCATACTAAATATTTTTTTACGACCAACATAGAATGCGTCCGCTGAAGTACAAGAAGGAAAATCAGTGAGAAGCAGGACAATTAGGCAATTGTATCCTAAGAATGTTTTTAAGAGTAGAAGCAGTTGAACTATGAGAATGACCAGCATGGACATTTCCAAGGGCGAACCGACCATCACGTGGATAAAATAATGAACTTTATCAGTTACACATGTAAAAACACGCAAGTTGTTACAAGGTTGTTGTCAAGTCGTTATCAGAATGTGTTAGCACTGCTTGTTCCCATTTGTTCTGACAAATCTGAATTCTGAAACAAGCATTAACATCTTGTTACAAGGTTCATGACGGTATAGAAGACTTGCTACAAGTTGTTCCAACAAGACTGATACAGGCTGTTCCCAGCAAGTTGCTACGAACTTTATGGTCATGAACTTGTTAACGACTTGTTAAGTGCAGACGATATCAGGCTTGCTGGAACAACTTTTTGCGAGTCTGTTGGGCTCGCCAACCTTGTTATAAGATGATAACAACTTGTTCCAAACTTGTCATTAATAACTGGGAACAACCCGCGTGTACTATTGCGAATGTTATAAACAACTTATGAAATTTACTAATTCATATGCAAAAACCTAGTTACTATGACTAGTAAAAGCGGCCATAGAATATCCGGCCCATTATTACGGGACGGGATTAATTTCAAACCAGTTTTTAACCTAAAGTTTAAAGATACAATTTCAAGACTATATTTTTATACAATAATACTTCTTGTCATGTTTGACGAGTAGTTTCGAAGAACAACGTAGGTACGTATAAATAAAATGGTTTGCAGAAAAACAGTATGTATGAGATTAATGTCATGACGTTGACGATCCACGAACATAAAAAAATCGGTTTGCATAAAATGCAACCAAGCTCGAGACGTGTTGTTTTTAGATTTTAGTTTAGAGTTCTGAAGTACCTTTTCGCATTGGTATCTATATGGGGCCTATTTTAGGGTTTTGCCAAAGGTTTAAGATTGTGAGGGTTTCAAATGTCAACTGATTCAGTCAGCTTACGAAAAAGGAAGGGGTCCTGAGGGTCGTAATGTGAGAAGTAACCAATCTGATAGTTCGTTAGTAATATAGCTCATTTTTTCTATTTACCAATATTTGTCTAACATTTAGGGATCGCAGTAATTGGCGTAAGCTGTTGCGATTGCCCTGCCAGTTTTTGTGTTAACCTTGCTTGAATCTGGCAAAGTTAGTAAGTTACTTGTAATTGGTGCCAAAATGGACGGATTTAAAATTGTATATATGGCTAGCCCAACAGACACTTGATAATTGTTGACTTTTGCTGGTAAACTTTGGAAAAACCAGGGTGGATTATGGATAACGGTCGGCAATCGGCTATTTGCCAAACAAAAAACACTAAACGGCCGACCAATCCAAGACTGCACGGACATTTTTACCGAGCAAATAAAATAGGCACTTTTCATTTAAATGAAAGGTATATTGTTTGAATAGTGCAGCACTGTTCATAAAGCATAAGCATAATAGCAAGAGAAGGAACACAAAATATTTTCTTGGCTTTGCTGTGATATTCCCGAAAACTCGACACGCAATGAATCGTTGGGATTCCTTGCCAAAAATTAAGTAGTGTGATTGATCATGCGAGAAGTGATCAGCACAACCTGTCAAATTGATAGCTTGTCAATTGAAAGTAAATTTCGAAAAGCTGGCCGATAATTATTAGCCAAAGTCTCAGCAACTGAACAGTTGATCGGACATTTTTGTCAGACTGAAGCGAAATTGTTATAATCCACACTGCATGGTAAAAACATGTAGCTATACCAAGAAAATGTTGCTGATTAAACATTCACTGAATAATACTATATTTTTGTAATGCCACTGCAATTAGTATAGGTTTGTATGGCGACTGCCTACGAGACTAATAACACTATTTATTATACCATTTTGAAATCATTGGTGTTTCCTGCAATCTGATTGGTTCACATGAGTGCGATTTCAGCACGAATCGCGATGCATGCTGAAATCGCACCTTCTTTCCACTCTTTGAAATCGCACTCTCGAGCGGGATATCAAAACAACAAAAATCCAATATGGCGGCGAAATTTATCTTGTATAAATGACAAACGTGGAAAATACCTGGAAACTGTTTTAAGAAATAATCTCGTCGAGATGCAGCGAAATGCGACTATGTAAGTCTGTAATACAATTTATAAAGATTTTCTTACTCTAAAATATGTTGTTTGAATTTCAATAATGTGTTCTAGTTTAAGTTATGTGCTTTTATGACTTTATGATCACTTCCCAAGTTTGTTTATGCCAAATTGCTTACAAAAGAATTAAAAACTCTTGACAAAATGCACTTGAACACGGCGGCTCGTGCAATTTTGGCACATTTTTCAAATATCACACGTAGTGTTAATCATTAATTGCACTCCTTCCCGTGTGATTACCTATACTAATTATTAATCAATGTTTATTATTCTATGCTAATACATACTTTCCATATAGCATGGCGGTATGTATTGAGATGCATCAGCATAATTAATGAAGTACCATCACCTGCATAGGGATTACTAAATTTTGCCAATTTTGCTCAAGTTGGTTAATATTTTTTATTCAGTCTTGTTTTCTCGTTTATATACCGGTTTATTGTAAGTGATTTTTTATGTTCGGATATATATTCGTCTGCTCATTTGTAACATTTGGTAATGTATTCTGTTCAGTTTGGCTGAATTTTTCTTGGTTTATCTCCACTTTTGACAATGTAATGTGGCGTGTTGCCATTCGTGAAATATTTAGTTACAACTTTTGCTTGTATCTTTGCTTTTCTCGTTTATATATTGCTCTGTGTTTATTTTATGCGCGCATCTATCAATTGTTGGACGAGTTTGAGAAAAATATCGTGATTTGTTGGTGGCGAGCAGATCAATTGCTCTGCGAGCCGCCGACAAATCACGATATTTTGCGGGAACCGAGTTCAATAATTGTTTTATCATTCTCTTCATTGTTAGACATTGTAACTAGGAACACGTACAACGAGCTCTTCACACAAACCTTTGCAAGAGTTTCTTATGAGCCAACTAGGTCGTTTTCGTTGATTTGCTTTGCTTCTAAATGCTGGCGAAAGACATTGACGCGGTTTTAGTCGCTTGTTTTGTGTTTTCCGCGTTTTTTTTCTCTTCAAGCAAGCAAGCAAGCAAGCAAGCAAGACAACTCATCTTCCGAAAGTTCAACAAAGAGAGCCTGGTATGTATCGTCGGATCAAAATACAAATATTGTCGGATCAGTACCGACTGTCGACCAAAAATATAGTCATGTTTATATCAAAATAAATTAGGAAAATTCATGTAAGCCTCTCTGAAGAAGAGAGAGTGAACATCCGGAACTTACGTCGTTTTTGCAGTAACATGCATATAGTGGCTAGCCGCTGCCCACATAATATCGTGCCTAGGTTTGATTGATTGACATCTTTATTTAAAACACGAGGTCCATTTCACAGGTTATGTTATGTGCTCTTCAATGGAGACGTGTACCTATACTAGTCGACTAATTACTAATAAAAAAGTATCAAGCTATTTACAAAAGTAACAAACTACACATGCAAAGAAACTAATATAAGAGAAATATTAAGATATTTTAGATTTAAACTCAGCGAGAGATTGAACTCTAGTGAGTTCGACGGGTATGTCATTAGGTGGAGGAAATTATGCTCAAAATTTTTTTTGAGTTCATTTAATATTTTTTTCCCAACTATGAACTTCGATGTAAACGAAATCTGATTGGGTGCAAAAGCGGCAAAGCTTCTTTACTACTTTCACAATCCTAAAGGATAAAGCACATGCACGGTGGGAGCGGATTCGAGTGCTGCTATTATTAAAAATGCGTTAAAAGACTCACTTGCTATCATGTAGCTGTTAATGCCTGCAAAATATACACTCTTTTCCTGCTGCTCATTGTAACATTTGCTTACTAACTGTTCTTTAACTGGCTTGTTTGGGAATTTCGTACCACTGTGCCACATCAATCCACGGAAGCAAGCTGAGATTGGAAGACGTGATTTCGCCTGAAATTATGAAAAACAATTAAGATTGGGGCATGTGATTTCAGGAATTACGAGAAACAATTGAGATTGAAGGAGGGATAATTCATATTAGAACACGCGATTTCTCTTAAAGATAGGGTACAGTCCGTATGTAAACAAAGCCTTTACTTACATTTCGGTATTCAAAATATTGAACTTTATTCGACAACTATTTATATTTTCATGCTTCTACAGTATAATAAATGTCAAGATATAACAATCAGGCTTTGCAAGAACATAAAATGAAATAAAAATCCAATTCAAGTGTTTTTATCATGGCAGGAGACTCCTATGTGCGCATGCGCAGACCGGACTGTCCCTACCTTTAAAATTTTGACACAGTTGAAACTGCAACTGTTGCAATGAATAGGGAAAACTCCGTTGTTTTTTGTTATATTCTGGAAAAATTGTTTGTTTTTTGAGCAACTTTTTGCATATTCAAATGATGATTGAATAGTTGAATATTTTCGTATGTAGATCGTGTCTCAGTTATATGTTATAGTTCAGCTGCAATTACCCGACGCAGAACGCATCATATGGACAGGGCTGGAAAATGTTCGGACCACGAGACCATTGATCCCGGAAAATTTTTTAAGTTCTCAGAAAATATTTTCCCAACAAAGAAAAAATGTAATAATTTAGATAAAAGGAGAAAATCAGAGGAAAATTCACAGTATAACCTCATGCTGGGACATCTGATTTTCAAAATTTTTGTCCCTGATAGTGTCCCCTAGTATTGTAGTGCCCTAACTTTTTGGCATCTGTGTTTACCTTAGGATCAACCATTGATGCATGTTATCTACATTAGCTGCATGTCATATTTTAATATTTTTTCCTGTGAAATATAGCATGACATTCAGTTTGACAAATTGTTAGTGTCACACAGGTACAGTGTCCAAGTGCCATTTACTTGATTATTTACAGAAAATTTTCGATGTTCTCTTGTGGTCCCAGAAAGTAAATAATTTTTCCACCCCTGCATTTGCATTGGCTTGTATTACTTACGACACCTGCAAAGCTTTTGAAAAAAAACATTTCATAGCCATAAAAGAGCGACATAGTGATTACGCAACACTAAGTGATCACCCGTGCCTGATTCCCAATATTTATAGTAAATTGTATTAGTAATTCAACAATACAATACAATTCCTGAGATGCGAAGATCGAATTCGGTCAAACAAATGCTAGCGAACAAACTGAGCCCAAAATTGTGCTGTCTCGATGTCGACAAACCTTGTCCCTGAGAAATTCAAAATCACCAGCGAGACCCTAGTGAGTTAGTTAACAAAAAGCATGAAAAATTGCAAAATACCCATGAAAAATTGTGAAAATCCTTCGCTGCGCGTTATAGACAGTACAAATTCCTACATGCAAAGCTTGTTCCGGCAAGATGAGGTTCTTACGGCTTTGAATGATATAAAAACAAAGAAATATATTGTTCCCTTCCCTTGTCCCTGCCTTGTTGTTTTGAAGGTAGTTAAGAGCATCCAAGATCGGTAAAAACTTCGTTTTGGTTCCAATAGCATGGCCATAACTCGGTGAAATTTCGGTCAATTTCTTCTCCAAAACTATTTTGAGCAATCCTAATGAAACCGAAGGCCAAACGAAAGCCGCGGGATATCGATAAACCTCCGGATCGTATATCACAAAATATTTCAATTACTCATTGACTGATATGTCGCATATTTCTGGCTATGTCGAACTTTTAAAACCAGAAAAGCACAGTGTATAACAAACAGTACTTACATTAATTTTCTTTTTCAACACTTCAGTTTTGTACCCGCCAAAATATAAATAGGGGATTCCATTAATAACTGTGGCACCTGGGTTGCCAACACCATTAACATCAATACCATCAACAGTAAGCTGTGCTTTAACTTTATCTCGGTAAATAGTAACCTATGGAGACAAACATATATGTAAGAAACACACGAGATATTCGTAGAGCGGATGCTTGCGGGCATAAATATGTTTTTGACCCGACTCAAGGCCCACACAGACCGGACGCGATTCGGCAACGCGACGCGAATTTTCAGTTTTCAAAAACAAATAAAACCGTCAACGGATAAAAAATTTACAAGATATGCAGACCAAATAGCTAAAATTGCTTAAGTGGTTCCGAATATTTGAAAAACATTGAAAAATATTAAAGTTAAATGTTATTGAAAACTGAAAATTCGCGTCGCGTTGCCAAATCACGTCCGGTCTGTATGACCTTAAAGGTCCACACTGGACGCGATTCGACAACGCGACGCGATTTTTCGATTTTCACTGACCGATAACTTTGGTCCTAGTTTAAATTTTCCAACTATTTAGGAGCGCTATGACATTTTGAGTTATTTGGTCTACATATCTTTCAAAATTTGCTCTCATTAGCTGTTTTATTAGCTTTCAAAAACTAAAAAATCGCTGTATGGACCTTAAGACTCACTAAACAAAACTTTGGGGCTTCCATGCATTGATTTTATGCATGCTCGGACGTTTGCATAAATTACAGTACGAAATTTGCAAGCCAATTCCCAGAGGTCCTAGAGTTATTAACAACGTTTATAATTTACAAAATTATTGACATACAGTGTTCATTTACAAATAAAATCAATCTTCAACGTGCATGCCCTCCTATATATGTTGAAGATTGATTTGTATAGGTATTAAATAGCATGGTTTCGAGTGCAATTTGGATATAACATGTACTCGTGAGTTTTTCAAAGACCTCAATGGACGAGTGCTATTTGAGTCTTTGAAAAACTCACGAGTGCATGTTTATCCAAATTTCAAGAGAAACCATGCATTACTTATTAATAATTTACATAAAAATGTTCGAGACAATAGACCTATTCCCTAATGAAAAAATTTTTGATCTAAAAAAAATTTCATCACAGCTTGAAATAGCCTCTGATTGGACAGTGCTTAATTTGAATAATTTATGCAAATGAAGCTATTTCATTGGTTAATTGATAATTAGCATGCGTTTAAAATAACAACACAATAATTTTAAAATTCCAGATCAAGAATCAAGATTTCCTTCGGGGCATACAAAGGTTTGAAAGAATTTAAATACAATCTGAAACACGATACACCAGAAATATATTGCATATATTTATCGACGAAGAGATTTGTTTTAAGTGTGAACAATGCTGCAGAACGATGATCATTGCCGGCACGTCCGGTGTACAAGTTCAGTTCTTGGAGTACATATATATAGCGTATATTTGTTTACAAAGACAAAGTATTAAATATAAACACAACTGGTTATTCAAAAGGTGCATTTTAAAGTAATTGAAAGTTAGCGGGCCAAGTGAGACGAAGTTAAACACATTACATGTAAAGAGAATGCTTTATCACTAGGAGTCGGGACATATAAACAGATTGTCAATTTATTAAATTGTCAATTATAAATTGTCAATTTCCGTCCAATAGTTTGTTGTATTTTATATATTTGTCAGCATTGTGTTCGCTGAGTGTCCAAACACTAGAATTTTATCTTGATTTTCTTAAACTTCGATACAGCACAAAAAGTCTTTCAAACCTTTGTATGCCCCGAAGGAAATCTTGATTTTTGATATGGAATTTTAAAATTTTTGTGTTGTTATTTTAAACGCATGCTAATTATCAATTAACCAATGAAATAGCTTCATTTGTCATAATTTATTCAAATCAAGCACTGTCCAATCAGAGGCGGTCCCCAAATCTGGGAACTATCCACGTGACCTGAACAAGGATAAGGATTATGCATCCAACTCACAGACGTTCTCTCGCGCGCTTCGTCGAGGGTAACGGCTGTACACAAGCTAAGAAAATCCAGGTTTTGAAATTCTCGCGTTGGCCTACACGTGCACCAAATTTCTTGAAATTTTGATAGGCCGTGGGCCGTTGTGAGAAAAAATGCTTAGAAAAGCAATTTCGTGGCAACCCCCTGGGGAATAGATTTTCTATGGTTCAATGCATAGTACCACAGATGCTCAATCATCAAAAAAGTTCCCAAGCAGAGAACATGCCAAACACCGAGAAAATGGGTGATCAGTGATTACCCTCTATTAAATTGTATTTAATACAGCAAGAAAATGCGAAATTTTGTATTCAATTACAACAAAAAGGACTTGCATCGTCAAAAAGCTTACAAAAATCTACATATAAGACATAAGACTTAAATTGTATCAGAGTTATACGCTGTCAAAAACGCGTTTTTGACCTAGTACCCAGTCCTTATCGCGACATTTTGGTCCAATTTTCACATTTAAAACAGCAATAACTCAAAGACTATTTGAGGGATCAAAAAACTGTTTAAAAGCCTAACATGCGGTTTTTCCTAAGCTTTAAGTCATTTTTGTTGTAATTGAATACAAAATTTCACATTTTCTTGCGGTAATACGATTTAATAGAAGATAATCACTGATCACCCATTTTCTCGGTGTTTGGCAAGTTTATTGCTTGGGAACTTTTTGTGGTAATTGAGCATATATGGTACTATGTATTGAACCACAGAAAATCTATTTTCCGGGGGGTTGCCACGAAGCGAAATAACTTTGGCCACGGCCTATGTGTAAGACAGTTCGTATTTTGACTTTGTGTCATTAAATTTTGTTTCCGATAAACAATTTTTTCGTAGCAGCTTTCTTACTCTAAAAACGCTAGCATTTTAAATAATTTTAGTGCTAGATGTACCAGAGAACGTTAAAGTACATAGGCTTACTGGACGTTTTCGCAAATGTCGCGCGCATCTAACTTTAGTGAACTTTTTCCAACTGTGTACTTTTTTCTGATACACCCTGTATAATAATACCTTTTTCCATGTTCCATCGTTTACGACATTATCTGCTGTAAGGAAGATATCTCCCGAACCAGTGTTAAATCCAAAAGTAACTTTTCCATCTTGTAAATAACAAGATATGAAATCTGTCTGTTCACTGTTCGCAGAATAGAACAAAATACCATGGCTCGCAAATGTCCTGAATTCAAATGAAAGGCCGCCACTAAAAACAGCAAAAATAAGTTAGGTTGTTCGCGTAAACTTTCCTGCAGATTTTAAGACCTACGAATCGTTATGTCTACTGAGCCTATTGACAACAACAGTAGCTACCATCCTTGGCAAATATATACGAGCAATAACTAACTTCCCCCTCCCGGCCCTCCCCCCGGTTCATTGTTGAAAGCTGATACATTGGTTAGGTGAAAGCTTACTGAATGCGTGTCAAGACCAACATTGTAGGGAGGGGGGGGGGGCAGACAAAGACGCCAACAAGTGTATGCCAACAGTAATACTTTGGTTTACACTTAAAGTGCATATGACATGAAATTGTTTATTTTCTTAAATAAAAGAACTCTTTAAGCTGTAGTGTAACTTATTTTTCAGTTTCTTGTTTTTATGGTTTGTTCCCAAGATATTTCAGTTTTGTTTGATATGTAAATAAGTATGAATATGTCCGCTAATTTATGACGTCACTTTGGTTGCAAGCTCTTTAACTTGGTTGAATATCACTGCTATCCTCCAAGATGATAATTTCAAACTTCACTCACTGGTAAATGTGATGAAACACTGTAGAAAAACGTGAACTGATATCTTCAGTTTTTAGAGTTAATAGATTTATAACCCATTGAAACCAGTGTAAGTTGAGCTTGCAACCAAAGTGACGTCATAAATTAACGGACATATTCACACTCATTTACATAATAAAACAAATTGAAATATCTCGGGAACAAACGATAAAAACAAGAAACTGAAAAATAAGTTACTCTACAGCTTAAAGAGTTCGTTTATTTAAGAAAATAAACAATTTCATGTCATATGCACTTTAAGTGTCCACGGAATTTTTGCCATGATTGTAGTTTGTATGTCATTTGTCGTAGTGGGAAACTATATTGAAATTAAGATGAAATCGATCTCATGCAAGCAAAGTATAGAACATTGCGTCTTTTACATGAGAAGGGTTGGCACACATACAAAAGCGGATGAAATCGTATAGTGCTTATTAATAATAAACTTATTAATAATATACATGATAAAATTATACAGAAGCAAATTCATTGTCACTTGCATGCATGGAACACAGACAAAACAAGTCATTTACTCACTCTTTGGCACAACAAACTGTCTGAAAACAAACTGCTCGAAGTCCTACCTCGTACCCAGGGTCTTTCGTCTTGTGGAGAAAAGACCCTGATAAACGCTGGTCATGTGACCTGCTAGAATCTAGCAGATTTCTAATTAACTATCTTGGATTCCTTTACGACAATCATACAAAAAGCAAATTATAAATTAAACTATAAAAATTATCCAAATATCAAGTATTTATTGACCTCATCTTGGATTGCTAATTAAAAATCTGCTAGATTTTAGCAGATCAGGTGACCAGGGTCTATCAGGGTCTTTTCTCCCCTCGCCAAGAGGAAAGACCCTGGGCACGAGGTTGCTCGAAGTCAAGACTTGTATTACTCTTTTTGACATTGAATTACATTTTTTGGTACTAGCTGTGTTCCATATTTTTACACAGCTAATTATTAGTAGGCATCGGTTGGTCTAGTATAACCAATATTACCATTCGGTGAAGCAGACTTTATTTTGAACAGCAATGACATTGGTTCTCCCGGAACAATGTTAAAAATCCTAGTTTGAAAATTCATTTGCTGAATATCTTAAACACTCCATAAATGGTAGCGTGTACGGGAAAAACGTAAGTTCAACTTACCGCAAACCAAATCCTTTTTCAGTCACTCTGTATTGAGCATAACCTCTTCCAGTAACGGCCATGGAATCAGAATATTCGAATTTCGGTGAACATTGCTGTCAAAGATGCAAAAATAATAAATGATTGGAATATTGAAGTTTATCATGCCTCATAAGATACTAGATTGAAGCGCCGAAAAGTTGGATCGCGATTGTAATTAACTCGGCGATTGCATTCATTTCTTACATCACTGTAAACTAGACTTGCTAGAAGTCGACTGGTATCGTGACGCATGTAAGTTGTCTCGCATTGTTTGTTTGTTTGTTTTTTTGTTTGTTTGCCTGATTAGAGCTCTAGGTTAAAGAAGCGACGTTTCGATTGAGGAACACCGGCGCGAAGTACATTGAGGCGTTATAAATAGACGCAGCCGTCTATATTCGAAATCACGAACGTAAAACTGCATAGACTGCCGTTCTTGATTTCAAGCACCAACTGCTGACGCCATAATTAACGTTGAAATTATATACGCGTGACGCGTCACAGAATAGAGACCGTACAGACAAAAAGCATAACCGCCGCCACGCCATGATTCGGATAAAGCTATAGTTACAGGAGTGGTGCAATACAGAGCAGCCATAAAAAAGCTAAGGAAATCGGCCACCTATGCTTCTCAGTTAAGTCAAAATACTTACGGATGTTGAAGTGGTCGGTGTAGTAGTTGGTGTTAGAGTTGTTAAAGGGGTAGTGGGGGTTGTAATGGGTTCTGTAGGGGTTGTCGTTGGTTCTGCTGGGGTAGTGGGTGTGGTAGGGGTTGTTGTAGGTTCCGTAGGAGTAGTTGGGGTTGTTCTTGGTTTTGTGGGAGTAGTAGGTGTTGTAGTGGGTTCTACAGGTGTAGTAGGGGTGGTTGTGGGTTCTGTCGGGGTGGTTGTGGGTTCTGTAGGGGTGGTTGTGGGTTCTGTCGGGGTGGTTGTGGGTTCTGTAGGGGTGGTTGTGGGTTCTGTAGGGGTAGTGGGTGTTGTGGTGGGTTCTGTGGGTGTAGTAAGGCGTGTTGTAGGTTCTGGAAGAGCAGTGGATATCTCTGGACCAACATGTGGTGTACCTGACCCTGACCCGTGACCCTGACCCGTGACAACTTCCGTGCTACTCATGGTGCTAACAGTGGTGATTTCCACGGTAGGAGTTTCCTTTGTAACTGGTACTTTAACAGAAATGTAAAAGAACATTAGACAAACAGAATAATATATAGTGTTGTTATGTAGTTAGCGCTTAAACGATTTGTGGCCACGTGGATTTGTGGCCACTTCGTCGCTATAGAACAAAACACTTCATGTTTTCCCTGGGGGAAATAGTTTGCTTTGTTTTCCTTCGAATCTCAATGTTTCTCTCGACTTTGTCTCTGGAAACAATGAAACTGAAAACAAAACTATTTCCCTCGGGAGAGGGCGCAAAGCGTCTCGGTGAATATCCTTGCACTATTCAACGAATTTTCACGTGCACAGACATTTTTTATGTTTGATAGCTAATTCTGAAATTACACTATTGGACACACGATTATTGAAAAGATTGAATACCTAATTATTCTAATCATTAATCTCAACATCTAAATTATAACAGAACAGTTTGGAACGCGAAAACATTCACATTCGAAAATATTTGTTTTTAATCCTGTAAGACTTAAACTACTATGATTACTTCAGGATTTATCTTGTATGCCGTATCAGTCTTAAAGACACATTGCTCCACACGACAACACATCTTAATTATTCAACATACTTCATGCATGTAATGTAATGTAAAGAAGACAGTCAGAAACGAAAATTTTGTTATTTTTCTCTATACACTGTAACCTTTTGCAGAAAATTTTGAGCCCTAAATCCAGGTTCCCAAAAAAGACAAACACATTTTCCAGCTCTGAAATGTAATCAAAAGACCTACCTTCTGGCACGGGTGTAATACCGACAGGTTGTTCAAAAGATGGAACAGGTCTTTCTCCCAACTTAACTCCAGTCTTCTCTGCGTCAGCAATGTTAATCATTCTGTGAAGAAGATGTTTACATATCAATATTCACTAACGTACATGTTCTTTTCATGTACGTGTTCTTTTAACGTACATGTTCTTATGACTGACGCAATATTTTAAAGTCTATATACTGTTCGTTTTTCAACACAAAAAGTGAGCAAATGTACCATTGAAGCCGGTTTTCCATCAGACGGAATTTTGCGCGCGGAGCGGAATTTCTCCTTGTCTTTTCTAATTAGCTCTACCCGAGAAATCACAGGACAAAGAAAATTTGGAAGTATTTTATAAAGAGCAATTTGATTCTATAAAAATCAACGATTAAACTTGATTTCAAAATAAAACACTTCAGATTTTAATAGCAATGAGATACGGCTCAATTTGCCGAGTTTTCACTGTCAATAGAGACCTTAAGATTGACGTTTACGGCAAACGTCAAACCGCTAACGAGGTTTTTGATTTTACAACTCTATTATAATAGCTTTTACACCAGTTTTGAAATATGTTAAACTTATTAAACTTTTGCTCTTTAGCAATGATTTAAGAAAGCAAATTAACCGCTAATCATGCCATTCACCAAAGCAGTAAATTAAGATTTGGCGTTTGAAGTTGGCGTTTGGCGTATAAATTTC